TGACTTTTGTAAAATGCTTTCCCTGATGCCTTTGATTGGTAGAACTAAGTCTTCCAACTGTTCCAGAAAATAATTTCTTCTCTCCAAAAGTTGGTTGTAGGGTTCTATGTCTCTCGTTTGTTAATCATGCTGTTCATATCTGTTACAGCCCTAAGTTTTTCTCTCACGAATGATCTACTAGTTCCTCTTCGGGATATGTTAAACACTCCTCCTTGCCACTCTGTCGGGTTGTGCTTTGTGTTGGTTTTAGGTACTGTGCTGAGCTCAGGAATACCCAACCCTACCTTTAAAGACCTTATCACATTAGAGGGTCCTCCCTCCTTCTTTCAGGTAGGCTAGTAAAATTGTTTAATTCTAATTCAAATCCAGCATGTCTGTGTTCACATAAAGGGAATCCTTCTTAGTTTGCTATTTCATTACCAGAATTGGAAATTCCAGACCTGGTCTTTTCAAGTCTAATAACCTATTGTCACCAAACACAAGAGGGACAAGGGTACAGTCCCATCCTCACTGTCATCGGGTTTCAGTAATCCCTGGATCCCAAAGGTTCCACTTCTAAGCCATCAGTCCTGCCTTGTCTGAATTGTCTGGGAGGGGAGTGGACTCAGTGAGCACACTGGGGAGCTTCTGGGCGCTGACAGAAGTATCCTGATGGACCTGGATAAGGCCTGATTTAGACAGGGGCTTCTGTCTCTCCGGCTCTTACCTCAAGAATGTGGACGATCTCCTCCACCTATGGGGTCATTTTTTTTCTGAGCTTCTGAGCCAATCTTCCTGAGGCAGCCAGTCCTCCATCCATCCTCCCACCACCCGCCTCACCGATCCTTTATCCTTGTATCCATCCACACATCAAGCCAGCCAGCAGCAATGTCACCCAAGCCCTACAATCGATGTGACCTCAGGCAGTGGAAGCTCACTCCCTCATCTGTAAAGTGAGTCTAGTAATGGCAAAGATCTCACAGGACAGTTGTGAGGGAGATGAGACAACATTTATGGAGCTCCGGTACATACTAAGCCCTCTAGAATCATTGGCTCTTATCTTCATCACACACACACTGATTCAGCTAGCATTTCTTGAGCATCTACTATGTGATGAGTCTTGGCAGGAGGGTCTAGAGAGCATCAGAAAACAGAAGATCATTAAACTAAGAGCTGTGACTAACCTGCTTGGTATGTACTACACACAGTTGGCACAGGATGTTCTGAGAGCACAAAGGGCCATGGGAAGGGAGAATCTGGGAAGCTTTCCTAGAGAGTGACATTGCAGCTGAGTCCTGAAAATGAGCAGCAGTTCAAACAAGGATGCAAGGTATTCCCAGCTGAAAGAGAAGCACATTCTAGACCTAAAATGAACATTGGAAGTGGTGTTGGACTGATGTGTGAAGTAAAGCGAGAGATGTGTTCGGGGTGACCAGAGATCAGGGTCCAGGCCTGGTGATAAGCTTAGACATCGTGCTGTGCTGAGGACCAGTGAGGGGCTCCAATGGGGGAATGAGGAGGCACAGATTTAAAGTGTGTGTGTGTGTGCGCGCGTGTGTGGTGGAGAGAACAGGTGGGCCACCCCTGCCTACTCATCCAGTGTAGAGAGCCCCAGGGCTTCTAATGCCAGTCATGCTGGGATCTTGGAGCCCTGGGAACCGCGCAGGCATCCTCGGGCCCTGCACTGCAGAGCCCTCCATCTCCTGCCCCTGCTCTGCCTCTCTTGGCTCAGGTTGGAATCCTGGTCCCTGCCTGGGGTTTGGGTCCCTCCTCCTGTTTCACCAGCCTGCTCCCCCTGGGGCCTAGCCGGGCTTCTGGCCTGGAGGAGACTGTCTGGGGAGAGGCTCCAAGAACTTGAACCTGAGAAAGCTAGACTGGAACAAGAGCAGGGGAGAAGAGCTAGATGGGGTTGGGTCAAGCATGGTATGAAGATGGGGCTTCCCACCCCCATTCTGGCACATACTGCCCCTTCTCCCTGGAACGTTCCTCCCCACCTCCTTGAGCATTCCACCTGGATTCCGGAGGCCTTGGTTTAGCTATCTATCGCTCCTTTCAGGAGCCCTTGCTCTGCCCCCTATGCCCAGGTCTGCATCTTTGCAGCCCTCATGGAGTGCTACTTGTCTGTTTCTGACTGTAACCCCCAGGCACCTGAGAGCTCTGAGTGCAGAGATTCTCTTACTGATCTTTGCATCTTAGAAAGTAGAATCATGCCTGGCACATGTTAGATTCTCAAAACATAAACATTGATTGGATGGATGAGTGAACAGGCTCAGGATGGGTGGAAGGATGGGTGATGGGAGAATAGACAAGATGGGTGAATGGGAGTTCTGAGAGGTTCTTGAGGTAGAACGCTAGTTTCCATCACTGTTTGGGGCCATCTCTCCTTCCATGAGGTCGTTCCTTGCCAGTCCTGTTGGAGACTCTTCCCTGATATAATTCCTCCAGTCACTGTCCACTGGGCACCTCCCTCCTAGCTTCCTGTCCTTCCTGAGAAGTGTGTGAGGGGATTGGGAGGAGGAGTGCTGAGCCACAATCTTGGCTTGGGCTTTGTGATTCATGGTAAGTGACTTGTTCTTTCTGGGCCTTGAATGCCACACTTAGAAAACCAGGAACTCTGTACAAGATGTCCCCTTGAATTCCAAAGATCCAATTTTGGTGTAATGTTTTAAAATGCTTCACAGATATAGAATGTATTTTATATTGTTATCACACACACCCACAAAATCAAATGGTGTCTAATAAAGTTTAATCCTATTATACTTTGTATTTAAAAACTATGCTCCCTTCAAACACCGTGTCTTTGAAATAAACCATCTTGGAATATTCAGTTGCTGCTTTACAACATGCAACAGTCTTGCTAGGGAGCTCTTAGCTCCAGCATCCAGATCTCCCGACCTCAGAAGTGGCCAGGAACGACCTGGATACTTGTACATAACTGGATGGGAATGAAAGCCATTAAGTTCTCTTGACAGCCCTGTCCCCATTCTATTTTTTTTTTTTTTTTTTAATTTTTTTCTGGTACTGAATCCAGGGGTGCTGTAGCTCTGAGCTATATCCCAGTCCTTTTTATTTATTTATTGAGACCAGGGTCTGGCTAAGTTGTGCAGGCTGGCCTTGAACTTGTGATCCTCCTGCTTCAACCTGCCTCATTTGCTCACGGTGTGCCGCTCCCAATTGTTTTTTTTTTTTTTTTTTTTTTAACATATCTTGCTTTGGGAAAAGCAACACAATAGAACTGACAGAACTGCAGACGTTAATCACTGACGGCACTCCCAGGCGGTTACTCAGAAGGCTAATTCTGGAGCTGGTAGAGCTAGCTAGTACATTTGCTAGCACTGCCCTGGGCAGATGACGCCTGCGTGCTGCCCTCCAGGGAACTAGTGGAGCTGGGAAGACAAGACAAGCAAACAGGTGCAGGAAAATGCTGCAGATGCTGACTGATGCAAGTCTGGATTTTTTCAGAGAGCAAATGCAGTTAGGGGTGATTACGAAAAAACTGGAAGAATGGTTATCAGGCCTCCTCTACCTGATAAATGTGGTGGTAGTGGATTAAGCTGCCTTCCTTAGGGGTGGGTCCTTCCTCACAGATTAGACAAGCACTTAGCAGACTTCCACATGCACAGGGATCAACTGCAAGGTGTGCCAGAGGACATGGCACAGCCATGGTGGGGGAGATGAGGCAGAGGGAGGGAGCCCTTGCAGTGTGAGCGTCAGTTCAGGTGAGGCTGGGTGCTTGCATTATGGCTGACACAGATGATACTTGGAATGTCTGCTGGAGGCTCTGTGCCCTGCATGGCCCCTCCCCACAAACTGCGCTTCTATGGCAACAATCAAGTCTCAGTCGTCTTTCCATCCTTGACCAGGCCCAGGAAATCTTGATAGAGCAGCCTTTCAGAGGCTGTCTCCTCTTCTAGGAAATGGGAGTAACGCTGGCCTTCTTTCCTGGGACCAACCTGGAGGTTGTGCATTTACTAAGATATTTCCTTTTCCACCCACCTGGGCCTGTAAGTCCTATCTCCAATCTTATCCTGACTGCAGCAAAGTGGAACTGGACATAGAAGGGGGCAGTGCAGAGGGACCAGGTTTCCTCAAGATGGGGCAACCGTCAGGACTGAGGTGAAGGGGAGACTGCAACCCCTCCGTGGGGTAGGACTGAACCCTATCCGACTACCCTTCTGTAAGCCCAGAGGGCAGCTGTCCTTTCTAGTTGTTGCATAAAGACTATGCTTCATTCTGAGATCACTTCTTTTTTAAAAAAAAAAAAATTATTTCCTTTCTTCCATGAAACAGCTGGCAATTGTTTGTGCTGATTTATAAGGAGAAATTAAGGAGCTGGAGTCCCCGGTTCTACCAGATGCTGCCTGAAGTCCAAGCACCCAGGAACTGATCCTAGGACTTCTGTGGGCTCCAGTGTGCTTGGCCCTACCATCTGACCCTATCTCCCTGGGGACACTGACCTGCCTTTCTTGGCCTGCCCCTTCTGAAGATCCTTCCTTCACCACTCAAGACACACCTGTGATCAGACTGAGTGTCTCCCTGTTAACGTTTAAACATGTTAAGCTTTAAAATGAACAGTTCAGGTTTTCAGGTCTGAATGTTCACAGACATTTGAAGTTCATTTGAAGTTCAGTAATCTTCTCCCCCAAAGTCTTGCATGGACAGTCAGTTCTTTGATGTCACCCTGTGGCCTGCCTTCCCTACAGGGCACTGTCCCACCTATCTGGGCAGATGCAATCCCAGCTCCCACCCTGCTGCTGCCTTAGACGGGGAGGTGACACAGGCTGGGACTCCTACCTTGGGGGTGGGGGAGGAAAAGTCCCTTAAAATGAGAAAAGCTCGCGTTTACGGATGTGTGGCTTGACCAGGGAAGCTGCCCCTGGTCGCGGGGTTCGAGGCCAACGGTGGCCCAGCTCTCCTTGGGAATGACTGGCACGCTGGGGGAAAGGCAATTAAAACGCAACAATCAAACCAACCTTTAAATAGTAACTTTTAAAAATATAAAAACAGCTCATTACAATGACTTTTCATTTTCTTTTTTTTTTTTCTTCAGGAATAACTTTCTTCTACCCTCACCCTCCCTCCGGGCTAGAGCCTTAACAAGAGGTGGCAGATGAACATCTGAGACTCAGGGAGAGAGACAGAGACTCCAGACGCCCTGCGTCCCCATCTCAGACAGATACAGGGTGCTGTGCCGGCTCCAAGCCACGACCTCCACGTCACGTCCGGAAGCTGCTCAGCCGCAGGAGCACCTGAAGATGGGCGGTTTTCACAGAAGCCCCTCCTCCTCCTCCTCACCAGACCAACTCACACATTATAAAATAATCCATAAAAATGCAGTATAAAAATTATCTTCCATATGCTACATCCATGGAGAGCCCACCCCCAGGACTCACACTGCCTTTAGCTTCTTCTTTTTTTTTTTAAAGGAAAAAAAAAAAAAAAAGACCAAAACCCAACATCCTAATACCTCAGAACATTTGGTACCAAAGCTTGGTAACCAACCGCAGGAGACCATATTCTACCTGGAACTTGTGTGGGCCACAAGAGACTGAGAGCTGTTAGGAATCACCGCAGCGCACCAGGACATCTCCCTGCCCCCGGCCCTCTCTGCCCTGCCCAGGAGGGGAAGAGGGCAAGTCACCTGCTCAGACTTTATAACCCTGTAGGTTAATCTGCTTGTCCCCTCTAGGGAGAGAGGAAGGGGCTGAAGGCAGGAAGGGGGAGAAGACATCACTTCTAATTCTTTTTATTCAAATTAAAAAAAAAAAAAAAAAAAAAAAGCACCCACATCCATTGCTGTTTTTCTCTGGTAGCTCCCTGAGCTGAGTTGCTATGCTTCCCTCGACCGTGGTGTCATTTCCAGGCTGTGTCCATCCATCCATCTGGAAGATTAAGAAAGGCTGGAGAGGGAGTTCCTCTGAACCTCCATTTCTCATCACAATGACCCAGTGTGCACCAAAGAGAAAGAGGAGAAGGAGAGAAAGATGGAGCCAGAGGCCTGAGAGAGAGGGAGACTTGAGACAGGGCAAGAGGCAGACAGAGCGGAGGGAAACCCAGCTGTCCCCTATGGACATCAACCCAGGTCGGCCCGGTCTCAGCACTGTCCTTCAGTCCGTCTGTCCATCTGGCACTCCCTCAAGGCTTGCCTAGGGTGCCAAACCCGCATGAGGCGCGTTCACCTGGTGTTAGGTGCCAGTCTGCTTGGCCGCTGCAGGTCCTTCCCCGATCCCAGGACTCTCCTCCCTGTTCCAACCCCTTCTTCCTGTTACTCCCTCCCTGTCCCTTTCCCTGATGGGAACTTCTGTTTAAAAAACAAACAAAAACAAAAACAAAAAGCCACCACCACGAGTGGATCACAAATACAGCAGGCGAAATACACGGCGAGCTCCCACTGGGCAGGGGCTTCCTCCCCCACTGACCAGTCCACCACAGGAGTCTGTTATTTACAGTTTTCACAAATCTTGTGCACTGCACAATCAGGAACGAGATCCCCCTCCCCAGCACAACAATGTGGTCCACTCCATTGTCCCCCACCCAAGCAGGGAGGGGACAGATCAAAAGAATGGGGAGGAAGAGACAGAGATTCATGAGGGTGTCTGTGGGGAACTGGAGCCACAAGCCTCCAAATAAATCTATTTGTAGCATCTGCCAGCATTGTTAAGGGGGAGGAGGAGAAGAGAATCCATCCGAGTCTGTGAGACACATCAATCCATGCCCAGGAGTCCGGGCCATGGCGGGCACGTGCCCTCTCAGCCCGCTGGAGCACAGCCCGGAGCGCGGCTGCTCACGGCCCCTCCTCCGCCATCCTCAGGGGCCTCGACTGGGGTCTCCCTGTCAGAGCCGAGATGGTTTCTCCCAGAGTTGGACAGCCCTGTTAGAGTCCTTGTTTAGTAGATGACCTCATAAACTGTGGCCTTCTTGTCACCAGAGCCTGTTACAATATATTTGTCATCCGCTGAAATGTCACAACTCAAGACAGACGAGGATTCTTTAGACTGGAGGAGGGAGACGACGAGAAGCAGGAAGGCGTGGGGTGTGGGGAGAAAAAAAAGACAGGAATTCATTTGGAGCCCTTCAGACCATTTCAACGCTCTCTGCATGAAATCGCCCCGCTGCACTGTCTCAGCTCCCACCCCGAGCCCAGCAGAGGGTGGGTCTGGAGGCGTGTGCAGCTAGGGGGCCTCCCACCAGCCTTGCCACTAGGAAAAGCTCATTGACAGCTCCCACGGGACTTTCAGAATATGTTCTAAGGACAGAAACAGGACAGAGGTGAGCGCCTCTTCAGAGTTCAGACGGGACGCTCCCTCTGAGACTTTCTGAGCTGGAGCAGACTTCAGCCTGCCAGACCCTCAGCCCCACAGGCCAGGAAAAGGACTGGTACCCAAACTTTGAAGCACTCAATTTAACTAGAGACTCCGAAAGGGACATGTGTGACACATGGGATACCAGACATTTCAGACTGGGGTCAGGAAGTGAGTGGCTTGGTGAGGAAGCTCTAGATCCCAAAGAGCCCCCTGCTTAGAAGCCCTCATCTTCAGGAGTCAGAAGCCATTAGCAACAAAATAGGTGTCCCCTGTGGTCCCTAAGCCTTTTCCTCCGCAAAACCCAACCTGGGTGCCTATCAGGTAGGAGCAGGAAAAGGGCCTGGAAGGTCTGCTCCTAGCTCCAGGCTCTTCCTGTTCTGCCTCCCGCCATTCTCGCCTCCCGCACAGTGGGCACAGTGGTGGTGGATCCTGACTCAGGTCAGATGGAGAGGACGTATAGGTGGGCATACCTGGAAGATGCTGGCTCCGTAAGGTGTCCTCCAGGCATTGAGAAGGTTATCTTTCCCCGTGCTCACGAACCACTTGCCTGCAGGGGGGAGCCAAAGGAATAGTTAGGGTATGGCTTGCTGCCCTCTAAAGCAAGAGCTGCCCCAATATGGCTGGCTACCATGGAAACACCCCAAGGACCGCTAACCAGGGCTTAGTGTGACTCTCCACTCAGGAGTAGCATTTTGCAAGTGAACACATGGAAACCCAAAGAACATCTCTCTCTGCCACCTGCAGGAATAGGGGGCTGGGATGGACAGGAAAAGGTAGGATTTGAGGGTAAGTGCAATTTTTACACTTCTCCATTGAAAGCACTAAGGCCAACTGGCCCTCCTAAATTTACTACTGGAAGGTGGCAGAAAGTATTGGAAGGAGCAAAGCCCCAACAACCTGGAGACCCAGGCGACCTCCTCCAGGTGGGCACGTGACCACAGATCCCCACTAATACACTAATGCTCCCCCCAAAACTATGTGGCAGGCACCATGCTCTCTTCTGCCTCAGAGAACCTCATTGAGGTTTAGAGCAGGTGAGGTGTGCCCTTGGTCTGATGGCTTGTCAGGGTGGGGAGCAGGCTACCAGACGGCAAGCCTATGGCCGTAGCCACCAGCCACCGGGAGGAGCTACCTGGACTGCTTCGTGTCTATTCCTTTGCCCTAGGCTGCTGAGGACAAGTTATGGCCTTTTCCTGAGAGCTCAGTGCCTCTGAGGAACAGGATGGAGGACAAGATCCCCGAAGGGTGTTGAAGGGACACCAACCCGGGCTGAGCTCTTTCTGTAAGTTCTGGACCACTCGGCATACATGGCTGGGCCAGGATGCCAGCCCTCCCCCAAGCCCTGTCAGGCCAGGACCCAGGCTCACCACAGTAGGCAAACTTGAGGGACAGCACGCAGCTCTCATGCAGGTGCAGCTGGTACTTGTCGGGCTTGGTGTGGTGCAACACCTCCACGTTGCTGCTCTCCATGCCCACAGCCAGCCACTCCCCAGTGGGGCAGTAACCCAGTGAGAAGATCTGCAGGGGCATACACAGTTCAGCACCCTCTCCCTCCAAGGATGGGGCAGTTCCCCAAGGCCCTGCTCAGGTACCCAGGGCCAGGCTCCCCACCCATCCCCAGCCATTCACAGACCAAGCCAAATGACCACCTGCCCACTGACCCAAGGGGATGGGATGTCATTTTATCTAAAGATAAAAAAGCCAGGTTTAGAGAGGAGGCAGTGGAACCCGGGTTCAAACTCAGAGGAGCACAGACACTTCATGTCCAAGGGCATCCTCTGCCCCTGAGACTTTGGTCTCTCCTTAACATGAATAAATAAAACACTAAAGTACTAAATATTCAGGGTCAAAATATTAAAACAAGTAATAAAATAACAACAAACAGCAATGCCTGGCACTTACTGATGCTGTCTATGAGCCAGACTGGTAGCCCTGGCTTTCAGGAGCATGGCAGGAGTCACACTAGGCCTTGCAGGGAACGACTATTATTTGTACCCCATGAATGAGAAAACCGGGGTCAGAGTGCTCAACAGGAGTGGAGCTGGGAGCTAAATCCCCAGGCGGGTCAAGTGTGTCTAGGTCCAGGGTCTTGTCCACTCTGTTTCATTGCTGTTTCCTTCAGGAAGCCTTCCCACATGGCCCAGGGTGGTCCCAAGTCCCTTGGCAATGGTGACCCTGTGAGGGTCCTTTGTCCCCTGAACCAGGTACTGGGGCCCTGGAGGGGAAGGGAGCTCTGTGGGAGGAGAGGAGCCTGGCTGCACACCTGGGAGGTGAAGTCATGCTGCTGCAGCTGCCGGCCCTCCCGCAGATCCCAGGAGCGCACGGTGTTGTCCAGGCCCCCAGTCCACAGCTTGGTGCCATCGTGGGAGATGTCTATGCAGCTGGCCCCGTCTGTATGGCCCTGGAATTGCCTATGAAAGCCAAGCAGGGAGTAAGCATGAGCCCCCAGACAATCCCTGACTGGTGGCCATCCAGGGAGTCAGCCAGTTCTTTCTGTGAGCCAGCAGAGGAGGAAACTGAGGCCCAAAGGGGCTGCAACACGTGGCATGATCCCTTGGTGAGCCAGAAGCCGAGCTGGCCAGGGCCCCCATCTCACTCAGAGGCCTTGCCCAGGGCCAGGTCCCCTGTAAAAGAAAGGCAGCCAAAGGGCCTGGCACAGGATCCTGAGATTGGTTCCCTCCAGGTGGGTCCTTCAGTGAGCCCACCCTACTCCGGAGGTGGTGGGACTGGTGGTCCAAAGTCCAAGAAGGCAGAAAGGCCCTGGAGAATTCTGTGAGGCGCTTCACAGAGAGAAGGCAGGCCCCCTGTCTAGGACACAGCTCCTGGGCCTGCACTCTGCATGTCTTGGGCTGTCTTGACCCATTCTCCTTGACCTTTGTGGAATACAGGCTGAGGCCACAAACGTGCCAAACAACCATGAGGAATACAGGCAGCTGGTGGGTACAGAGAACCAACTCTAGGCCAGGCACCGCTGTCTGCCATTGCACCGAAGTGCAACCTACACTGTGCCCAGTAAACACAGGGTAAGGTGACCTGCACAGGTCATCACTGCAGAGCTGAGCAGCAGTGCTTCTGAGGCCCCATGTCACACCACCAAGTGAGGCTGTTTCTCTGCTTTGACCTCTTCCATCCTCTTGGCTGTGTCCCTCCCAAGTCGGTTCCAGCTTCACCACCTCTGCATAGCCTCCTCCAATCTCCCAGGCCCAAGCAGCCCTCCCTCCCCTGTCCCTCGCAGGCCAGTCTGTCTCTCTGCCAGGGCACTCTCATCCAAACTGCCCTGGCTACCCCACTCCGCAGACAGGGCAAGGCCACAGCAGGACTCCGCACCAGGCTGGGTGGGTGTAAAACCCGCAGGACGAGGCAGATGCTCCCTCCTGTGACCTCACCTGACTAGGGTCTGGTTGTGCAGGTCCCAGACGGCAATGTTCCCATCGCTGCAGCAGGAAAAGCAGACTTTTGCATCAGGGCTAATGGCCAGGGCGTAACAGGCAGGAGCGGAGGATGTCAGCTCGGCCTTGATGCGGGGTGTGGGTGAGGCCAGATCCCAGATGGTGAGTGTGCTGGCCTCTCCACCCACGATGAGTGTGCGCCCATCAGGGAGTAGCTTGCAGGAGCGAATGTAGTTGTCCCTGTTCTAGAGGGAGAAGGGGCAGGGCTAAGCATTGTCCACACTTCCTTTCCTGGGCACCTTGAAAGTCACATCTAGTGAACCCTCGCCCCCTTGCCACCTAAGCTCCCAGCCCCCCCCTAAAACATAGCAGCTACTAGGCTGCCCCTGGGTTTTCAAATTTACATTCCATTATTCTCTCCCGCTCCTTCAAATACTCCATGAGGTCAGGATCATCTCTACTTGCAAATGGCAAAACGAGGGCCCAGAGCTGCTCAGCCAATCCAGGGCTAAGCCAGGCCAGGTCTGGGGCTCTCGCCTCTAGCCCAGGCTGCTCCGCTCTCCTACTCCTGCTGGAGACGTCTGCAGCCCCGGAGTGCTCACCAGGCAGTCCAGCTGGGAGATGGGGCTCTTACTGCCCGGCTGGCTAATATCCCAGATCTTCACACAGCCCTTGCCACCTGTGTAGACGTGCCGCGTGGGGTTGCTGATGGTCACGGCACACACCACCTCCCCGTGGCTGAGTGTGTTGATCTGGCGGGCATGCCTTGGGATACCAGGGCCTGCCAGGGCATCATGGGGGAAGGGCACGGGCTGCATCTGCCCATCAGCGCTCACATGGAAAGAGTAGGCTCTGAAAAAGCAAGAAACTTCACTCTAGCCATCCATCTCTGCCTCCCAGGTCCCATCCCAGTCAGTGTGAACCACTCCTGACTGGGTGTCCTGCCCTGAAATCTTTAAATCCAGGAACCCTATGTGACTGGAAGGTGGGTCCACCAGGATGGGTCTACTTCACCTTCCAACCTTGAACTTTATTCTCACTTATATTCTCATTCCAAATTGGATCACAAGCCCCACAGGCACCCTTTCCCAACAATTATAAAGTCCCCTGACATTCTGGTCCTAGCGGGATCCAGCTAAATGCCGCCTATTTTAGGAGTCAGTGGTGGCAGGGAGGGGAATCTGCCTGCCCCTCCAAAACCAAACTGCAGGGATTCATCAGAGCCACAAGCCACAGCTGGATGGCCTGCTGTTCCGGGATTCTGAGGGAGCCTTCTCAGTGGGCTTCAAGATCCTCCTTGATGAGGTGAGCTCTGGGAAAGCCTAAGGCAGCATCTCTAATGTCTACTCAGCCTTTTATTTCCCCAACAGCCCACGGAGGTGAGGGGCAAAGGGGAAGTGTGCCCTGTGGGGGGTGGAACACTGGAGACAGGGAAGGGATAAGTCTAGCAAGGCTGGTGGCCTTTCCCTTCCAGCAGGTAGATCCCAAAGGGGTCCCCAAGACCCACAAAAGCCCCATGGCTTTGGTTAGAAGTGCGCCTTCCCTCCCAGAGCCAGAGACTGTACTCAGCACCTCTTGGTTTCCTGTTGGAGGAAGCCTCTGGGGCTGGTCACACTTGGTGGTTTCCCAGGGTCACGGGCCTAAATGCCTCTAGAGGGACCCAAACCTTTCCAAGGGGAGACAAAGCCCGGCAAGCTGGTGTGCTCAGGGGACGGGAGGATGGGGTGGTGTACTCTCCCCTGTCAGCCTCGTGAAGCATGCAAGAAACACAGCCATAGCTTACGGTTTCCCTCCGGGAATGGAGGCGAGGCTCGAGGGCAGGCCTGTGGCCCGCATGGGAGGGTGAGGGTCAAAACCAACCTGCAAGAAAAGGCAAGGCAGCCGTTAGTGATGCCACCATACAGCCCCTCCCTTCTGCCCCCTACCACCCACTGGGCCCTGCCCACTCAGCTCAGCCTCTTCAGGATCAGGGCATCAGCACAGCACAGCACAGGAAGCTGGCTAGAAAGGCCAAGTGCCTTGCCCAGGACAGTGCAGTCCAGACCTCTGACTCTGAACCAGTGCCACAAGGCACAGCCAGCTGACCCTGCCCCTCCTGCTGCCCCAGTGAGCCTGTTACTAGGATGGAAAGGAGACCACCCTAGGTATACGAAGTAAGGACAGAACTGTCCCGAAAAGGGGCCTTTCTCCACCAACCCAGATCCTAACTGATCCTCTATCATGACAGCTGTAACAACCAGCCCCACCTCCCAAACCTGCCAGGTGGACGTCATTTCCCACCCCGCCCTGAGCCCAGGAAGCAGCTGTCAGCCCATGTCCCAGAGTGGCCAGGAGCAATGCCTGCAGGAAGGCTGCCCTGTGAGAGGTTACACAACGGGCAACGGGGATGGAACCAAACCCACGCAACCCCACAGTGGACCCTCACAGCTCTTTCCCATAAATGTTCTCCTTAGGGCAGCTGTCTGATTTCCAGACCCCTGTTTCCCTTTAGCATGCAGGGAGCACCACTGCAACCTCCACCAGCTCTCTACTCCCTGCCCAGTCCCCCAAAAAGGAGCCAAAAGGTCTACGTACAGCTCCAAAGCTCACCATTGGCGATCGGCCATAGGCAGCAGCTGCAGCGGCGGCGGCGGCACTCATCTGGGGCGGGATGTTGTGGAGGCCAGCGTAGGCGCTCGGGCTGGTAAGGGAGCCGTTCATCTCGTGGTGGCTCATCATGGCAAAGGGTGTGGCATAGGAGCTGGTGATGGAGATGGGCGTGCGCAGGGCTGAGGCTACAAGAAGGTAAGTGTCAGTGGGGAGGTGGGCATCAAGGGGAGTGGGCCCCACCCTCTTGCCCAACCATACTGCAGCCACCTCCTTGCGCAGCAGCAATCCTTCCTGCATACTGAAGCTGCCTGCTCTTGGGAGTCCTCCAGCACTGAACCCACCCACAGGGGACCCTTGACTTCAGAGCCTGAGCAAGCTATAGCTGGGACACATCTACCTCTTTCTACACAACAGGACATGGAGGCCCAGAGAAGGCTTGTTGAGAGCCTTACAAAACTAATGGCAGGGGCAGAAACAAGTCCGGGGTGCCCTGACCTACTTGATTCTCCTTCCACACATGCAGCCTAGTAGTGGCCCAGGAATCCCTGACCTGAGTGTTGAAGGCGCACCCAAGTCCTCCTCAAACCTAACTATGAAGCCAAGGGCAGGTCCTAGGAGAACCCCAGCTTGGACACTCTTTGTGCTCTGGCCCAGCCACGCGGCTCCAACCCTGGCCCGAGGCCAACCCTCCCCCCACACCATCAGATCAACCCAGCCCCATGGTGCCTACCCATTATACCTATCGGGTCCATGCCTGGAGGTTTGCCTGGCATTGAGCGGAGCCCCGGGGTTGTGCTGGTGCCTGGGGTCGGGGCATCATTCCTTGGAGTTGGTGTGTTGGACTTGAGGCCAGGCGTTGAGGATTTGTCATTCTGGGAAGGGAAGAGGTAGAGACCAAGGGAAGTCCTGAGGACCCTTCTTCTCCTGAGAGCTAGCACAGCACTTAATACCATCCCCACAAGAAGCTCAGCCCCAACCCCAGTTCTGGACCCTCTGCTGAACAGAAAGACATGGTTCCATTTTACAGATGCAGCAAACAAGGCTCAAAAAGGTTCCTTGACTAGTGCAGCACCAGCCAGCAGGTGGTAGGGTCAGGCGTGGACCTGAGCAAGCCCATAGCCGGGTCCTTTCCACTCTCTCCCCTCCCTCGTCAACACCACTCCAGCTGTGGCCTCTGTGCATCCTCATTCCCTACCCCTTTCTGTCCCCACCTCCTTGGAGGCACCAAGCAGACCCTACATACATGACCAAGGTCTTTGGTCTTGGAAGAAGGTGTACTGCTGGAGGAGGCCACCGAGGCGGGGCTGGTGGGGGCATCCTTTTTCAGGCCCCGGGCCTTGTCCAGTCCATTTTCAGGAGGGGAGTGTGCAGGGCTGACCCGGGGCGTTGCTGGGTCCTAAAAACACAAGTTACACAGAAATGCTCTGAAAGCCACGCCTAGGCTAGAGTCTTCCCTCCCTAAGAATGGGCTCAGAAAGGGCATGAGTGATGGGGAGAGTCTGGCTAAGAGTCTGGGGGCCCCAAGGAGGGGCGTAGCTATTAATTTAGTCTGACCCTTCTATGTCACAAGCGAGCAGACTGAGGCCTAGGATAGGGTGGGGGGAGTGAGCTGTCCACGATCAAACACAAGTTCAGGACTCAAATTGGTGAGGCTGGGCTTGGCATCGGGTAGCTTCTCTACGGCAGCTGCTATTCTGCGGGGAACTCACAACTCTCCCTCAACATGAGGATGGAGCAGAGCCGACCTGAGAGACTACAAGGAACAAGGTGGTCCCTCTTTGGGCTCTTTCAGGGTCTCTCTGGAGATCCATCACAGGAAGTTCTCAGGGTCTACGAACACCCCGCCACCATGCAGGAAAGCCCTGCCCCGCTCCTCCTGACCCACCTAATGTGCCAAGACTAGAGGCCTCACTGTTCTGCTCAGGCAACAAAACAGATGTCAATCTAAGAAACAAACAATCCTAAACCACCCCAAACCCTACAACAGGGGCCTACCCTTACCTCGTTAGAAACATCCACCACCAGATCATCACTCTTGTCCCCATCACTGTCCTGCAACCAAGAGAAGCCAGCAGACCAGTAAGAGACCACACCCTCCCCTCTCCAACCCAGCCTGAGCCACCCCCTGCTCTCCACCTCTGCCAAATGCCAAAGTCCTCGCTGCATCTACTGTGCCCTGTGCCCGGTGCCAGCAGCATTCCAGGTCAAAGTCGGCCTTCCTCCTGGGCTCCGGGGCCTCTCTGCCACTGTGCCCACTGGGCAGACTCCGGCCCCCTGACCATACTTCTCATCCCCTCCCTACAGCCTGCCCTTTCACTCATCTCTCAGAAGCTGGAGCCTCCTTCCCAGCTGGCTTTACAGTCGCTATCACGAAGCCGTGTGTGACTCTCATCTTGGTGTCCTCACCACTCTGGGGTGGGCCACTGGCCTCATTTCACAGAAACACAGCTGAGCTCCGAGTGCACAACACATCCAAAGCCAGAGCAGCCAAGCACTGAGGTGGGTCTCTGCAAGTCCTCCGAGGCCCAGCACGGCACTGTCCCCATGCCCATCCCAGCCCAGTCCTGCTCAGCCTGGCAATGGAAGACACCATGGCCACATTCCCACAGGGTCTCACATTACAAAGCTACTAGAAGCCATGGCTGAGAGGCTGAATGCCTGGCATAGACTGTGAGGACTGCAGGGCCAACCTGTGGGGACCATTTCTAGCAGCAGTCTGGGATTCCCTGAGTACCATCAACGGCAGCACGGGACTGCTGGCCCACTGACGGAGGAGCCCAATACCTCCCCGGACCCCAGGAAGGCCAGGACAACAGTCCTGTCCACTCCACTCAGTGACTCGCATGCTCACAGAGTGTATGACTCTCCCCCGCAGGCCTCCTGTCCCACCTGTAACTCTGACTCACTAACCGACCTCCAGAGGGCTCAGGCCACAGCTCAGTCACAGCCTGGGACCTGTCCTGCCCAACCAGTCCAGTGGTACCCGCTGCTCTCTGACGTACGTATCGGCTCAGGCTGTCCTTCTCCTCGGCCTTCCGCTTCTTGGCTTCCATGCTGTAGTCTGCAGAGCCCCGGTGCTTCTCGCTGGCCCTGAGGCTTTCTGAGGGTGACACTGAATTATTCTAGAAGCAAGAAGAGAATTCGGGGTCAAAGCCTTGTACCTGAGCCTAACCTCTCACACAACCTCCAACACAGCTAAATGCAGGCTACACAGGAGGCCCGAGGAGGGAAAAGTGCCTCTTCCACCCTATGTCTGTGTCTCTGCTCACTCGGAACCTAGACAGGGAGCTGAGCCCTTCCCTAACCCCTAGCTCGCTTCCCTGGGAGCTGCTCTGGCCCATCCTTACTTTTTTATTTTGTTTTTGGTGGTACCCAAGATGCAACCCCAGGGCCTCCTGCATGCCATGCCAGGTAAGCGCTCTAACTCTGAGCCACACCCCCAGGACATCTGGGTCAGGGTCTGACTATGTTGCCTAGGCTGGCCTCAACTTTTCTACCTCCAGAGTAGCTGGGTAACAGATGTGCACCGCCAGGCCCAGCTCCCCGTTTACTTTTGTAGCAAGACACTACTATTAAATATTTAGTCTTTCAATATTGAGTTCTTTGCATTCTAGCCTGAGAGGCCCCTCCCTATAGGGTGAGAGTCACCTGTGTGGCTCACTACGCCTCTCATGTCCGCCACATTTATTTGCCCCAAGGAAGGATGAGGGACAGCTGCCCTGAGTCTTGAAAGATGGATCTGAGGCGACAGACAGAAATGTGACAGTACTTCATCATCATCCCACAGGAATGGGGAAATGGGTAGGAAAAGAGTGTCAGCCTATCAACAGTGTTCTTAATTGTGGACAAGCAACTGGGACCATCCTACTCCTCTCCACAGCCAGGCTGCCAGCAACCAAGAGAGACATCAGGGTCACAGACAAATAAAAACCCTAATGTTTCAAAGCATCTCCCTCTGCAAGGCAGGGAACACAAAGGCAGGGAGAAATGTCCCCCTCTGTCAGAAAGCAAGGGCCCTATGAAGTTGCCAGCCTGGAAATAGCTGGAGATCTCTCTCAACTACAGAACGAGGGAGCATGGGGACCCTTGAGCATCAAAGACTTGGGAATAGGGTAGACTGGCAGGCAGGTCTGGAAATGGAGCTGTCCTGGAAGGGGACAGGAACAACTTCTGTCCATGGCTGTCAGCAGGTAGTGGGGAGCTACTGGCAAGGGTACCTGACAGCAACATTTTGAGGATCAATGCCCCTCCAGGATGCTGCTGAGGCTCATCCCTCTCCAAGAAGAGCACTATACTGTTACTCCCTTCGCCTACCCAGCCAGCATTTTCAAAGCACCTGCCGTGGGTCGGGCCTGGCACTGGGTGGCAGAATGAGCAAGACCAGTCCCTGCCCTCCATGAGTTCAAATCTAGCCAGAGGAGAGAAAAAGGCCAGCTGATCCACAGCCCGAGGCAGTGAGAAATGCGTGGTGGGGTCATGGCAGGACAGAGAGACATCTGTTCAGAAGAGAAGGGGCATCCAGGGCAAGTGGGAGAAGCCTCACTCCTCATCCCCTCATGGTCCTGGAGGCCAATGCTGGTGCAAGGGCAAAGGTTGCTGAGAGGGGATGGGCCGGTGCGGGGCGGGAGCCAGCCGCAGAACTTAATTTCCGTTCCTAAGCCGGTTTCTGGGCAGCCCTTCCCTGCCAAGTTTCTGCCTGAAGCAAATTAAAATGGCAGAGTTATCAAGCCTTGAAGAAAAAATGGAGGCTATAATGGAACTGCAGCTCAACCTTCCCACAGCCGTGCAGAGCAGCGGCGATGCGCGCACAGCCGCAATTCAATTAGCTGCTGCAAGCGCCGGCAGAAAAATCACCGTCATTTCATTTCATTTCCTCCGACGGTGGCGGCCACCCCGTGCTAAGCAGAAATGCTTCCAGCCCCTCGGGCTGGCTGCCCCTCGCAGGCGGGAGGGCGGGTGGAGAGGAGGGGGGCGCGCGGCTGCTCGTGTTTCTCCCTGCGACCCGGTGCGCGGCTCGGGAGAACAGCGAGCTCTTTCTTCTCATGCAGTCAGGCTGAAAACCCTCGCCGCTACCGGAGAGTCATGTCAGGCATTTAGCGGCATCGATCCAGCCCGCCTCTGGCTGGCAGGCAGCCAAAAAACTAAGTATTTTTTATTGCTTCGGCTAGGCAAGGAAATATGAATGAAGCTACCTCTAATTGGACTCCAGACTAACCCCTCTGGGACAGTTTCCAGCCCGTCCACCCGTCCCCCTCCCGCTCTGACACAGCCCTGTCCTTCCTGCCGTAGGCCTCATCTGTTGACAACCTGGCTTCCAAAGGCTCATTACTTCAGTCTGCACCCTCCGACACCATCGCCACATGCCCACAGCCCCAGTGCCCTGACTCTGAGCTGCCAGGCCTAGCCTTCCCTCCCACCCCAGCCCGGGGATGGCATCTGATTCACTCCCACTCCATTCTCCCGCAGCCTAGGTGTGCCCCCTCTACTCTGAGAGTCTGGCCCAAGCGGAAGTCGGCAAATGCTGTGGAGTGAAGAGCTCAGGCTCCTGAGAGGTGCCTGTGGGCTTCTTCTAGCAGAAACTTTTATCAACAGGGGCACAAAGCCAAAAGCAAATAGGAATGAGGGTGAGGAGGCAGATGAGGTGAGGACCCAAGGGTGCTGGGCTCAAACACTGTTTCCCTGCAAGAGGTTACTGTTCCCCGGGAAATCTGGACTTGTTATAAGCAGTCCTTCCGATGGCACTGAGGAGCTGGCTAGAAGGCTGGCTTATTATTCCTGTGTTATGCAAAAGGAAACTGAGGCTCCGAGAGGCCATGAGTGCTACCCTATGTCTCATAAAGCTGGGACCAGAGCCAAGCCTGAATGTGTCCACTGCAGCCTTCATTCTATCTAGGCAAACAGCTTCTTCAAAAATGCCACTGTTCGAGGATCAACAGTGAAGCAATCAAAATGGATTTTCAGCTTCAATTATTCCTTTCTTCTGTACCTAGCCATTCCCTGGCCCAAAACGGGACCTGGATTTCCGAGCACGTGGGCATGGGGAGAGAAGACAGCAGCACCCTATCTGGGTAAAGGGAGGGCAGGGGAGGGAAGATGGGTCTGGACAGAGGGAGGTGCCCGCTGAGGCTGCTGTCTAGATGGTTAGTTAACTGCCTGACCTTCCAAGTCCTACTTAACACGAGGTAATAACCAAAGCCATCCTAACAGATTAGATGGCCCCAGATACAAGGATGGCGATGAGGAATAAAATAGCTCCACTAATCGTTGGAGGATTTTTTTTATCCAGACTCCACTGTGCTTATTCAGAAGGCTTATTCACTTGAAACAGAACCTCGGAGCCTCAGTGTGATCAGAAAGATTTACAACAAATCTCAGAGCTGGCAGACACGCAGGCGGCCTGGCCTTAATGCTTGCTTGCTAGCACTTTCTTAAACCAAGTGAAAGCTCAGAACAGGGAGAAGCCTCAGGCATTTGAAGCCGTGGAGGATTCAGGATCGTGCAGGAGGCATCCAGCCTGCAGGGTGGGTAAGAACCTTGGCCGGCAAAGGGGACAACTAGGTCCTTAGCCCTGGGCTGAGCTCCAGTGGCTCCACAAAGCCCCTTGGAAGACCCAGGTTGTCAGCTGACCTGGTTTCACATGAGAGACAGAGCTGATTTAGCCAAAGCTCTTCATTTGATAAATGATGTACCAAAAGCCTGGAGAGATAAAGGACTTCCGTAACTGAATGCCACTCAACAGGTGACAGCAACTCCTACTTTAGGACAGTAACCATGCCCCCTCCACCAGGGGATGAAGGCACTGTCACCAGAACATCAGCTGAAGCCAGTTCTCCCAGTCCTGGGCACGCATAAATCATAAACCCTCAGCTTCAACCCACAGAGCAACAGAGAATCCTGAGCCCAGGGTGGGCAACAGGCAGGTCTCGGGTGCACAGTTCTGGGACAAACCCCCAGGCCAGGAGCCCAGCAATCCCTCCTCCTCCCAGCACCCAAACACAACCTTGCAGGGTATAGAGCACTGACACTTACCGCACTGGATTCTCTCTCTTTGGGGAAGGAAGGCCAGGGCAGAAGAGTCAGGACCCCAAGAAAAAGAACAAAAAAGAAAGTAAAAAGGTCAGTTTCCTCAGTCCTGCTGGCTGATATAAGCCCATTTCACTGGTCTTCCAAAGGGAAAAGGGCCTGGCACTCTCTAAGGGTCAGCCAAAGAAGGGTCAGTGGGCAATGTATCTCAGTTTGGAAATTATCCAACCCAATTCCAGTGCCCCTCCTTAGTTCCCAGGGTGGGCCAGGGGAGGCTTTTGGCCCAGCTCTTCCTAGCATGCCACAAGGACATCAGTTTACTCTTCAACAGACAAGGGTTCTTAAAGTCACAAGCCTGGGAAGGATCACGCTATGCAAAATACCCATGAGATCTGGGAATTAAGAACATTATGGAAAAAAGAAAAGAAAGGAATACAGGAGTGGCTTTTGTCTTGTTTTTTTTAATTAACACTGTCCTCTGTTTCTTTGCCAAGACGATCCTGGAAGCTGAAGCCTGATTATTTGCCTAGCTAAGCAGTAGCTCCCATTCTCCTGCCTGCTGTGGAGGCCCCTTTCCCTGGGCCAAAAGGACCATTTTACTATAGGGGACAAAAAACTTGGCCTCTAGTTCCCAGGACATGGCCCGGGCCATGGCAAGATGGTGACACTGCAATTCCCCGGGCCCAGGAGACTCAGAAGGCATTGGCTACGTGGCTCTGTAAATATCCAAGGGCAAAGCACACAAGCTGGCAAGTTTTGTGAAGGGTCTGCCTCGGAGCCAGGCCCTTGCCTTCCCTGATCCAAGAAATCCCTTCAACCCCAACTCAGTGTAGGTTCCTGGGTCTTCATGGTCAGGGCCTAGATGCAGGTTAGGAGAATAAGTTCTGATTCCAGTTTCCCAATCACCTCCCTGCTGGAATGTGCTTGCTTCCTCTACTTGAGCACTGACTCTGTACCTTTCCTGAGGCTTCTGTACTGGTGAGAATATGCTCAGAAAAATATCTAGAAAGTTGGTCCCTGTTGTCAAGAAACTGGATGGTCTTGGTAAGGACAAAATATTTTCCAGGGATAGAACAAAAAGGACAGCAACAAATGACGGTATTGGGGCCACAATTCTTAAACTTTTATGGGAATTTGAAAAAAGGTCCCCAATCTGACCAGGAAGACATCATAAGGGAACAGGGGCTGGACGAGCTCTCGAAGGACAGGGCATAGCTGCAAGCTGAACGATGAAGGGTGGGCTGCTCCAGAGGAATGGACAGACGCCTGCCAGGGCACAACACCAGGAACAAGCTAGACTGGGGCATGGTGCGTAGGAATGGGGTGCTGGTTTCCTCACACCAGGGAGTCAACGGATGACTCCAAATCTTTGTCTGACTCCTAGTCCTAGAGTGACAGCACCTGCCATGTCCACACACCATGGGGTTTGCAGGCATAGGAACCCAGCCCAGCCCCACCCAGTTCCCAGCCCCAGCTCAAGCCGCACCTCGATGATCAAGTTCATGGTGGTTCTTCTCATCCTTCACCGACAGGTGGGCCTGGCTGCCCAGGGCGCCAAGTGCCAGCAGTCCAGAGCTGCTTCCCGTCACTGGGGGGATCCCAGGAGGCTGGAGGCCTGATGGGTGGGGCGGCAGTTGTACAGGGGGGCCATGCGTGGCATGGGAGAGGTGCTGCGCCTGGAGCTGCTGCTGCTGCAATGAAGTCAGTGGTGAGCACAGCTGAGCGGACGGGCAGGGGAGCTCGGACTACCTCTTCCCATCTCCCTCGCTCCCGCCATCAGGAGGTAGCAGAGGGAAAACCACCCCCAAACCTTTGCCCCCCAGTTCAGTCCACATGCTCAGGAAGTCTGTTAATGGACAGCAATTTAGATAAAAGATTTTATGTCTTCAGGCACCCCACCCAGCCCCACACTGCAGTTGCAGGACAGAATTTCGCAGTCTTTGTTTCCAAGCCAGAGATAAGTAATACATGCATTTACAAACCACACAGCCACCAGGGCTCCCTCTCAGTGGAGGGGAATCTGCTTTTAAGCTCACAATTCATGCGTACATGCCTTCAACATCAGCAGCCAGAGCCTCCCACCCTGCAGCTGTATCCTACGGGAGATTCCCTAATTCTGAAGCACTCCAAGCCTGGTTTGGAGCCAAGAGAGGGAAGGTCATAGCAGACAGCACCATGAGTAAGATGAACTTGGAGCCAGTGGAATGAGAGCTGATGTCCGGGGACACTGGCAACTAACTGTGTGGCCTTGGGCAGGTGACTTCAACTCCCTGAACCTCAAAGTTCCTCATCTGTTATATGGGGAAAGAACCACCTACTACAGCAGAGGATCACTGTAAGACAATGTGTACAGGGCTTGGGCCACAGCCCCCCCCCCCCCCCACTCGACTCAGGAGGCACTGGGACAGCCCCTAGCAATGGCAGAGCTCTGAATGGGCCCCCCATGGCTCCAATTTAGTAATCCTGTCAACAGCAGCAATTCTCCCCACTCCCAACCCAGGACTCTGCTCCCCAGGGCACTCAGGGCTCCCTGTTCCCTTCCTCCCCCACAGCCAAGTAGACAGACAGATATGCCACATATCATTCCTAAACTGTGCCAGGAACCAAGCTAGACCAGGCCAATATTTCTTAGGAACGGGTGCGGCAGGGGCAGGGCCAAGGCATGCTGGTCTCCAGCAATGCACACACCTTTCTCCTCCATTAGCACAAGAAAAGGAACCCAACACTTACTGAATGCCCAGGCACTTTCCAGACCCTACCCCCAATCATTCCAACTACCTGGCAAGGGAGGGGCTGTGCCTATTTTACAGATGACAGATGGATGCTTAGGGGGATAGAGTGGGCAGTCAGTAACTGACACAAGTCCTGCCACTGCTAAGTGGGATTTGGACTCAAATCAACCTCATCCTAAGAGTGTTGTAAGAAGGTCCTTCAAATAAGAGGAGGTGGGGAGGGGGGTCGGGGAGTGACAGAGAGCAAAGATCTCACATCAAGACTTCACTCCAGACAGGGAGCTTACCTGTCAACATGAAATGGCTTTCTGGAAATGGCTCACACACAACAAGACATGAAGAAGGCCTACATGTGTTTGGTAGAAAGTTAACGGCCCTTGTTCTCCCTCAACTAAGCTGCAAATTGTCAGCCTGGGCTCCACCCCAAAGTTAAGGCAGCCGTGGAGGTCACCATGCTCCTGGCCCCAGAGGCCACTGGTCCTAAAATGGTCTGACTCCAGATCTACCTGAGATTTACTACAACAGATACAGGGTTAAGGTGGTCCTTGCAGCCAGACTCACAGGGCCCATGCAGACATCAACCCTCCCAGCTAAAGAGCTCCGATTGCTCTCAAATGGGAGCCATGCCATCTTTCAGAGAAAATATAATTTTTGCATCATATTCTAAAAATTATACATGCTCATGGAAGAAAAAAAACTGAGTATAAACTTGGAAGTTCTTTTTTTTTATTATCTTTCAATCACACCCCTAGAAGATTCTGTTACTTGTCTAGATTTTCCTTTATGATAATCTACAAATTTTAAATGTATTTCTACACAAAAATGGGCTCGTCAACCAGACTACTAGATAATCTGATTTTAATTTAAGTGTTCCAAAGAAATCAACTTGTCCTTTTGCATGACTACTTAGTATTCCCTGGTGTGGCAGGACCATACAATCTCATCTAGATATCAAGTTACAATGAGCCCTCAGTGGGGACCCTATGGTTTTAAACTTGCTGCTGTGAGGCCCTTTAACCTGCTGGCAATGACTATTTAGTAAAATCCCAGGAAGCATGGGTGAAGGCATTTCATCCACTTTTCACAGTGCAGAGCCAGTAAGACCCTTTAAGGAAGAAACAAGAAAGAGGAGGGGGAAGTTGGCTTCAAAGTGTCTTTGCTCCCTACAGCCACTGCCAACTCCTTCCACACACTGAGTTAGTGAACACAGCCAAACTTACTGAAGGTGGGTATCCAGGGAAAGACGTAGATGAATAGTTCCAAACCCTCTCACCTGACCAGGCTAAGGCCTCCTCTCCTACCCAAACATCCAGGCTCAACTGTGTCCAGTTAAATGTCACCTCCTCTGGATGCCCTTTCTACCCTCCCAGTGGGAACAGATCTCTCCCTTCTGAGGGTTCTCAGAGCCCAGACTTGGGAGCCAGACACCCGAGGGTGGACTTGCATCTCTATATCAGCGATGAGTTTTAGGACAAATCAGTGGACCTTTCTGGGCCTCAGCTTCCTCATCTGCCAAAGGGACCCCAAAGTAGAGCTCCCCTCTTCAGGCTGGACGAGAATCACACACATTGCTACGTAGAAACGAAGGACGTGTTCAACCAACTGTTAGCAAACTTGATGAAAGGATCAGACACCACCACTTTCTGTCATCTTTACATGTGCTTAGTACCTTTTGAGCTCCAGGACAACAGGCCCTTGTCTCATCTATCTCAGAAGCTCCAACAGTGCAGGGCACATTTTCTGAGTGAATAAGTGAACTATTGGATACGATATAAAAGAAGTGACTGAGAAGTCAGTCAGCTCTGTCCAAAGGGGACCAACTGCCTCCCAGATCCGTTTTCTCTGTGGTCCAGTGCGATGCAGCTAGAACAGTTACTTGGCACAGAGAGCATCAGCAGGGTGTTGGGCATCCTGCTTCCTCAAACATGACCCAGTGAACCATCACCAGAAACCTGGGACAAACGCCGCTGGGCTTCCAAGATGAAGATAATGCCACTCTGTTTTTGCATCTCAGAAAGGAGCATTCTCTTTGCGGTGGAGGAAAGGAATCTTCTGTACAAAACTCAAAAGTTTCTTATCTTTAAAGACAAGAAAAACCTGCTCTGCAGAGCCAGAAACCACCCTGTAGTCTCCTGGGGGTGGTCTGAAGGCATGGTCAGGACTGGCCCAGCAGATTCTGGGATGCAGGGACAGAAGAGCCACACCACAAGGATTCTTGCTTAGGGAGAGAGCAGTTGCCATGGCTTGTCAGGCAGAGGGTCTGCCAACAATAATAATCTTGGTTGCAATACAGAATAAAATAAAGTTTTCTCCCTGATGGGGTAGGCAGTGTCCAGCTGGCAATGACCCGCCTGACTCAACATCTCTGTTACAGCCTTAGTCCTGCAGCAGGCAGCCACCCTCAGGCTGTAGTTCTGTCCCCTACAACACATCCTCCAGCCTCAGAGCACAACATGCTCAAACACGGTGATGTCTGAGTGAGAGGGTGACACTGTTTTTCAACTAGAAGCCTACTCCATGGTACAGAAATGGCAGCAACTCCACAGTCTGAGCCCACCTTACCATTACTTCAATTCTAGTACTTCTCCATCCATAACACGAAGAACGTCAAGGACTCCTCTTTCCACCCCCAGCCCCAAAAGAGGGGTCAGGAGCCTGGAACCAAGCCGGCTCCTAGTGCTTCTGTCTCCCTCCTCAAATATTGCATGTCAGAACACAAACATGTCCAAATCCACATCTCTTGGGGTGTACATGGGTCCTCCGTCCTCTGCATCTGCGCCAGGCACTGTGGCCTGGGCTCAGAAGGTGTGGCACCCACAGGAGAGACGACAGGAAGACCTTGCTGCCGAGTGTGCGTAGCTGGGCAAATGCTGCTCCTGCCGTGCACCTTTGCTAGCTGGTGCATTGCTTCGCTTCTGAGGTTCCCCATGTCAGTGAAACTTGGCGACGTTGTCTAACCACTTCATTTCCAGAGCCAAACTGGGCAAAGGCTCCCGCCAGAAGAAGCAAAGACAGGGTCCTAATGCAAAAAAATGAACACCCCTGATCCCCAGGGGCGGGAGAACATCCTCAGGCCTCTGATTGTTCTTTCACAAAGCTCGGCAGGCACACAGCACAGTTCCACACGGAATCCCACTTTCCAGTTTGGGAACAGCTTTACGAGCTCACGACAATCCTTGTTATCCCCACTTCAGAAACGGGCAACGATGGCTCCTGGGGCTGAGCAAGTCCAGAAAGCCAGCAGCGACCAGAGCCAGGACACAAACCAGCAGGACCTCCCCTAGCACAGCTGCCTGGCTGAACAAAACCGACGGCTGAGGGCACAGACGCTGCCGTGCCATTCCACTGTGCAGGATCTCACCAACCGAATTCAGCTCATCAGCATCCTTGCCACAGAGGAAAGAACCTCAGGTGGGGCTTCACAGTCCTTGTGTGGTTTGTGACAAGCTACCTCCTCCCTTCCCCTCCTCCCCCTCTATTAAAATGAAACAAAAATAAACAAACAAGTCAACACTTTACAGGTATCTCTTCCTCCTGATAACTCCCCAGGGAATGCAGGTCAATCCACACGCGGGCAACCGGGCAAAAGCCCCTCCCAGTGCAAAGGCCTTGGCCCATCACAGAACACTAAAAAGTGGGTTCTGGAAATGGTTGATAAATCAGCTCATGGGGTCTTGGATCACAGCCCCCCCACAAGCTGCTGACCAAGTATCACACTTCCCACCTCATGTTGAGGAATCTTATCCTTCTACGGATCCCCCAGTAATGTGGATCCAGGAGTAGAGCATACAGGTCTTGTCAACCCCAAATGGAAGAGAGACAGCCTTTGGGCCTGCCTTCCCAGGGGGACATGAGCTCCCTGTGGTCCAGCAGGGCAGTGGGTGAGTTTGGCCAGCAAGCCTGGCTCCCTCCATCCGTCCTCCCTTCTCCTCTCCACACACACCACCCTGACCTTGACTCCAGCTTTTCTCAATCGGAAAGAAGATCCCAGAAAGACTCTAATCCTCCTGGTAGACATGCCACTGGCTGCAGCCATGCCCACGCCAGCCGTATTTAACTGATTTCTCTTTGAGTTGAACTGACTCACAATCTCAGATTCCTTGGACTCCCTGCCCAAGAGGGCCTTGGACAACTGAAGCAGATGTGCCACGTGACACCTGCCAATCCTCCTCCGCCTCACGTGGGGAAACTGAGGCCTGGAGGAACAACATGGCTAACTCCCAGACCAGGCTGCTGGCCAGAGGCTGCTTTTCCTTCCACACTGACAAACCCCGCAGCGCCTGCCCTGCTGGCAGTCCTTGGCCCTACACCCCCGGCATGTCATGCGTCTCCTCCTCACTTTCTAGGGGCAGCTCAGCTGCAGGCTTGCTCTCCTCGCTCCTCCAGGAGGAGATAAAAGACTCCCCAACTAGATTAGCCACCTCCTTGGCTGGAGTGCAGCGAAGCGCGGCTCCCGCGCGGGCATGCCTCAGCTGTCCGTAATTCCTGCCTGGTGAGGCTCTGTCAGGCACGGCGATTAGACGGCTGCCTGCTTAATGACAGGGCGACGGCTGCATTCACTCAGAGCCTGAGAAGCAATTACCTTGAAAATGGGGGTCACAGGCCCCACTCGTCCGCTTTAATTGAATTCCAATATCTGCCTCGAGCTGCCTTGACCTAACTTGTAGCTTCCTAAATACTACTTAAAGGAAGTGGAGCTAATCCAAGCAGTGCTTCTTCCCCAATTTTATTCCTTTCTTCAAATGTAAATATATATACATATATATGTATTTTTTTTTTAACAAGAGGCTTTTAATTCCCAAAAGAGAGGCAGGGGGTAGTGGGAACCCCACTGTAACCATTATAGGGGGTGAAAGCACTCAGCCTGGAAACCTAAGACGATGCCTGGGGTGGGGGAGATTTGAGCAGGGAACTCAAAGTGCATGCCCCGCCCTTGCACCACCACCACTACTGCAGAGCCACTGAGACAGTCCCTGGCCAGTGAGGAGGACACCATGCTAGAGCTGCACCTGGCAAGTGGGAGAGCCCTGGATCTTGGGCCTGTCTTGGCTGCTAAAGATTTCTTAAAACAATGGCATTGGGCTAAGTCAGTGATGCTCAATCACTTTTGTCCACAGACATTAGCAAGGTCCAGGGACATTTTTGGATGTCACAGATGCATGTGGGGGGGCTACTGAATCTAACACGTGCAGGTCCAGGATGCTGCTGAGCATCCTACAATGCCCAGGACCACAAAAAAAATTACCTGCTCCTGAATTTCAATAGTGTTGAAGTAGAACAATCCTGTGCTAGATGATCACTGAAGATGCTGCTGCAAAACTTTTAAAATATCCTGCTTTCTCCTCAGGGGGTGCTGCCCAACCCTTTGCTCACCTTCGTATTTCCTCCCACAGAGTCTCCCCCCAGCACTGCAGGGGTCAAAGCAGCCTAATACTTCCCTCCCCCGTCCAGCAGCAGCAGCAGCTTGAATAGGTGCTAACACCAGGAGGAGAGGCCCACCAGGGTGCCTCCGCCAACCATTTCAGATGGGTCGCAATGGCAGGATGGAAGAAGGGTCAGTGTCCACCACCATCACTCTGCCAAGCTGACTCTGATCTCCCAGAAGTCCTGTAGGAGCCAGGAAAACCCAGAGAGATGACATGTCCACCCCCTTCTTTTATAGATGCAGAACTGAAGCCCAAGAAGAGAAGAGCCTGCCCAAGGTCATGCAGGGAAACACCATGAGTAAAACACAGGCCTCCAGTTTTCTGCCCCAGACTGAAAAGCCAGGAAGTGCCATTTATCCCACCATGCAGAAGAAAATCCCAGGGCCTCAATTCTACCTTGAAATAATGACCTCACGTAAGAACAAAAAGAGAAATAACGAAGACCAATCACTAACTCAGAAAATGCTAGGGCTAAAGGGACCTCAGCTAACCAGTCCACTGCTTCCCAAATCTGACTATGCGCCCACAAAATGGAAGGAGCACAGATTCCCAGCCCCACCCACAAATCTGTGGGACAAGTTACCCGGAATCTGTGTTTCCTATAAGATCCTTGGGAAACACCAACTGAGTGGTTTGTGGGTGGGAAAGCAGTGACCCCACTACTCCCTTCATTTTAGGGACAAGTGGTTGGACAGGGACACCCCAAAGTCACTGAAAAAAACTTCTCAGGTGCTTATTTTAAATATCCTTAGCCTCACACCAAAGAAATAAGTAGAAGGCGGCTCCTATCTGAATCCAAGAAATGCACAAAAAAATGGGAGCCAAGTACGGTTACTGAAGAGGAGCACCTGGCTTCCCCTTTCCATGGAGTGGTCAGACTAGCAGGGGCCTCACGGGGCACTTTTTTGTTCCATTTGTTTTCCCCATGTCTGGGTGAATGGAACTTGAGGTCAGGAAGACCTGTCTAGGTGCCCCTGATGGAATTCACGAGGGCACATGATACTCAGCCATGCAGCTCAGCACATGGGACAGCAAGACCCAAACCAGGTTCCACAGCATAATGCACATCAATAGTACAGCAGAGACAGTTCTGACCCCAGGCGGCCAAAGAAGGGCAGACCTCTGCAGGAGGAGGCAGAAGGCCCCGGGAGAGGCATGAGGCAATGGCCAGGTACTGGTCAGTCAACTTAGCCTCAGAGATGATCCCAGGCCACTGCCCTCCTCAATGACAGGGATACCAAAGTCAAGGGACAAGGAGGCTGGTGAGTTCAGAAGTGGACTTGAGGCATGCCTGGCATTCCTTTAGTTTGGGGCCTGGAGGGAATTGAGAGTCACAAGCAAGAGAGTCCCAAATGGATCCCACTGGGTTGCTTGGGGAAGCCGGAGCCCTGGGGCCGCCATTCTTTGAGGCCAGCTAAGGTCAGGGTCCATCTCTGGTTATGGTAAATGAGAGGAATAAAAGGGCTATACACACGGTGAGAGGCAGATTGGGGAGTCCACGTACCCCGATGATGGCGTTCAGCTCTGTCATGGTGACCTGCTTGGCACGCTCCACTGCCTGAGCCACCTGCTGCTGGTGCTGGAGGGAACATAGGTGGTTAGACATGGCTGTCCTGACCAGCAAGGAGGAGGCTGGTGGGCGGAAGAGCACCAGAGGAGCCTCCTGGGACACAGCCCTGCCCTGAGACTACAGGAGACCCACTAACCGGGCCCAGGACACAGGGAAAGGGGGTGATGGGTGATTTTACTTTCTTCTTTAAAACCTTGCAAATGAGCATGTATTAACTTCTGAGCATGTGTTAACTTCCTTTTAATGGCTTTCCATCTTAAAATAGAGATAAGTGCCAAAAATGACTCGGTAAGCCATGTCCCTCCACCACATACATGAAAAATTAATAAATAAAAACAAAACAAAAGCCTTTGTTTAATGCAATGTGAATATAAATTGGATATTATACAATACTACAGAATGATTATAAATTTTCTAACTATAGTGTCTACAGGAGGAGGTCCCCATTTTTAGCACAGCTACAGTAGTTAGTGGAGAAATGTGGGAATATCTACGATTTACATTCGAGGATTCAGCAGAAAAGTTTATGTATGTTTACATAAGAGAGAAAACAAAGTATGCCCAGCTAGAGAGAGAAAGTCATGAAATGAACCCTAATGAACACCATGGACTTTTCTGAGTGGTGGTGATGTGTTGGTACAGATTCATGAATTCTAATAAATAAACCACTCTGTTATTGGAGACGCTATGGGAAATCTCTACTTTCCACTCAACTAAAACTGCTTTTAAAAAATAAAGTCTATTATTAAAAACAACAACAACAACAAAAAAATGTTTCTTTCATTGCCTTTGGCCTTAAGGTAGTACCAGCCACACACGCAGCCGTCTGCAAGTTCCCAGGACACTGTCATGTCTGATTCCAATCATTTCTTGTTCACCACTTTGCCTCAGAAACCCATGTGTCCAAGAGGGAGCTGACGTGGACACGGCCACTGAGGGGGTTGGAGGATAGGGCCTACCCTTGCTGGACAGAAAGGGGCCCACCAAGTCAGCCCATTTATCTGCCTGGCACACCAAAGTGGTTCCTTGAAGATGTTCCCCTCGAGTAAGCCCTGTAGCCTGGCTGCTGCCTCCAGGGGAGTCCCTTGGAAGGTGTGCTTATAAGGTGATGTGACTACTGGTCATGCCTCTGGTGAGGGCACTCTGTTCCTAGGGGCTGAAGTCCCCTTTGAGTGCTGGTTCCCCACACAGAGTCTGCCCTTGGCACTGACTGGCCTCTCTCACTTGCTCCTAGATGTGAGGATGGAGGGATGGAGCACAAGAAAGCAGAGGGTGAGGATGATCTCTGAATGGGACAGAGGACCTGCTGTCCATCACAGCTGCAGCTGCAGGTCAGGACCCACCTCCCTGGCTTCAGGCAATAACAGAAGGAGCAAAGAGTCCCTCGGATGTGGCCCCCACCCCTGGATCAGCTGAAGAAGGCTCCATAAATCCCCTGGGTGTCAGCAGGGTCCACAGGACTGAACAGGTGGAAGTCTGGACTACAACGAGACCAGAGGGCCACTGAGCTGACTCAAGAGAACAAGAGGAAACAATAAAAGAAGGTCTCACCTCTTGTGACAGGAAGGGCATGATCTGGGCTAAAATTGTGTTCAGTCTCTTCGCAATCTCTGTCTGCAAAGGAAAAGAGACCACGTGAAGCCTCAGCAAACAAATCACATCAGCAAAATATCAGAGACAAGTGGAACTGAAAACCCCCAAACTGCGGCCCCTCTCCACAGGTTCCATCCTTTCCACCCTCCACCCCCACGGCAGGGAGCCGTCTCTCCCAACTCTCCAGCAGCCAGGCTGCCTGCATCTTGGGGAGCTCCCATTTCCTGTCAGAGGTGGTCTACACAGCTGGTACCCTCTGGGTGGAATCCCTAATTAAACCAAAGCCAAGCAGCACCCTGCCCCCAGGAAAGCCCAGCTGGATGAGGAAGGAAGTGCTCTGTCCAGTGTGCCTATGAACTGTGATGGGGTTATGGGCCTGGCACATGGAAGCCCCTGGTAAGCATGGAGCAAAGGGCTCCCTGGGGCCAGTATCACAGGCCATGGTATAGGGCATTCTGGGGCTCCCCTTGCTCTCCACTAGTCACTGCTGCCTCTCCCTCCCATAAATGTGCAACTCCCATAAATGTGCAACTCAGCCTGGAACCCCAACATTAGTTTCCATAGGGCATATCTAAGAAGCTGATTTAATTAGGGATTTCACCCAGAGGGTACCAGCTGTGCTCTGCATCAAACATGTAGACCACCTCATCTAAGAAGCTGCTCAGAGAGGTGACCCTCTCATTCCAGCCCCTCACACAGGCTGATCAAGAGAAGCAGATCAGCTGTCTCATCTCCAACACCCACGACAGACCACATTTAGGAAACCATCAAGCATTCCCACGGGTGTCCTGTGTGACCCCCAGATATCAGATCACAAGTGGTGCTAAATGGTTAACTGCTTCCAGACAGGAAGGCCTAGATCTCCACCGACAGACAACTCTCTGAATTGCTTTCCTCATCTCATTGGGAATCCAGAGCAGCCAGGGCTGAGGTCCCGGGGCCAGCTTCAAAGCTTTCATCAGCACATAGCAATCTTTCAGAGACAAAACCATGACAACAGCCTTTAAAAATCTGTGATCATCTGCATGTCAAATGATTCTGGATGAGAAATCCATGTGCACTTAAAATAAAAACAATGCCGTCTGAAGCCTAACCAACAGACCCTGGGCCTCGATAGAGTTCCTGGGGCCAACGGCCCCCACCAACCTCCAGCACGCACCCACACCCACACGCTCACACACACTAAGGAGGAGGCCTACAGGGGTTTGCAGTTTGTGGTGAGAACACGCTTTGGACTGAAGAAGCTGACGAGTTTTTGCAGGCCTATGTCCTGGGCTGCCAGCCAGGGTGGCCGGACTCTCCAACCCAGAATGCTGCCCACAACAGCAGGGACTCCTGGGTGGGGACAGGCATTGTTGCTGGCAGCTCTCTGCCTGGAACACTCAGATCCTCAGGAGCAGAGCCAGTGTTCCCAGCAGGCACCACTCTGGCATTTGGAGTAGAACAATTCTTTGTTATGAAGGACTGTCCCTCCAACCCCAGACCAACTGTGTCACTAATGATCCTCACTTCCAGACTCCCTGGGGTGGGAGGCAGGAGTATCATCCCAGCTCAGAATCTGTGAATTTGCTCACAGGTATTACACACTCACAAGGATACCTACCTTCTCAACCTCAGTAATGTTGATATTTGGGACCTGATAATTTTTTTGATGTGTGCACCTGTTCTGTGCATTATATGATTTTTGGGGTGGGGATACTGGGGATTAAACTCAGGGGCACTTGACCACTGAGCCATACCCCAAGACCTATTTTTGTATTTTATTTAGAGACAGGGTCTCACTGAGTTGCTTAGTGCCCCGCTGTTGCTGAGGCTGGCTGTGAACTCTTGATCCTCCTGCCTCAGCCTCCAAGCCACTGGATTACAGGCATGGACCACCCGTGCTCAGCTGTATTGTAGGATTTTTAATAGCACCCCTGTCCTCTCTACCCAGGAGTGTCTATCACTTACTCCATCATAAAGAACCCGAGAGGTTTCTAATTATTGTATAAATTAATCTAGAAAAAAAGAAAAACAATGCACTCCAAAACAGGGTCCTTTCTCACCTCTATTTACTTTTTCCTACCTCAAATCCACTGAGTTGTGGAAGAAGGATGAGCATAATAGTCAGGATTGTATACGGTAGGAATTCTAGAAACAATCATCCAGCCTCCACCACAATCTAAACCTGCATAGAGCAACAAGTTCACTCACCTGTCCTGTTTATGTGCCAAATAAAAACAGAAAAATACAAAAACAAAAACGAACCAGTCTTGTTGCTTAGAAATTTCATTGGTCCAAGCTCTCTTGCCTCAAATGAATAGGATATTAATGACTGAAATATAGTATGAGTTTAATAAACCTTTGGCCAAAAAATAATATTGACAGCCTGTCTGCATTTTTTTATGTTTATTTATTTGGTACTGGGGAGTAAACCCAGGGGTGCTTAACCACTAAGCCACATCGCCAGCCTTTTTTAGTATTTTATTGAGAGACAGGGTCTCACTGAGTTACTTAGGGCCTTGCTAAATTGCTGAGGCTGGCTTTGAACTCACAATCCTCCTGAGGCTCACCTCAGCCTCCCGAGCCGTTGGGATTATAGGCGTTGCACCACTGCACCTGTGCATTTATTTTTTGAGCCTTCAATTTGCAGAGTGATCCTCATCTTGATCTGGGTCTACCCCACTGTGGGAGCATCTGTGGAGGAGCCCAGGTGGAAGGAACACTGACAAACCACGGGGAGGTGGGGAAGCTTAGGCCCTGCGCAATGGAGTAAGGTAGTGCAGTAAAGCCAGACCAAGGTAAGCCACTCACAAGGGTCTCTGGCTGCTGCCCCCTCCTCATAGTCAGGAAGATGGGCAGGCTCTGAACTTTGCCAGTCACTTTGGCCTACTTAATAACTCCAACTCACAATGTCTGGGAAATCATAAAAGGGTTCCTTGATGTTGCTTACTTCCTCTGGCAAATGGGTCAAGGGTCAGGGTCTTGGGGGGGGTGTGTGTGGAGGGAGTAGCCATCTTCCCCCTTCCCCACACCTTTACCAAACATGTGGCCACACACACACTTCCCACAGGTGGGATCTTCCTGCAGGGCCTGGTCCAGAGCCCAGCATCCTCTGGTTATGAGTAAAAGGGATCCATTGGGATTTCACACAGACATGCCCAGTTCAAGGTCTGGTGTGGTAAGCCATTGTAATAGATCGTGGCCACCATTAGAAGATGGCGCCGGCTTCCACTGTGGCCTGTGGTAAACAACTCCTTTTATGGAGAGTTGGCGCGCAATTCCTTACCACCCTATGAGAGAGATCCACGTGGCGGCTTGGGATTGGGATGCAGGGGGCTTTATTAGGGTGTGTCGGGTGCGGGCGCTAGAAGATGATACATGACTCAAGGCCTGAATAAACTGCTGAAAGAAGAATCCTGTGTCGTGTTTTCCCTTGCCGGCGAGGGGTCTCGACAGTCTGGCACACAGGCCACCAGGTGCCCACAGAGGGGTTGCTCAGAAGCCCTGTGGGCAGCCCAGGGCAAGTTCCCACTTAGCAGCACCCTTTCACCTCAGCACTCACACTGTCTTTCCTGGGGCCCAAACCCAATAGAGAGGCCTTGGTGTGGCAGCAAGGCTCCAGGACAGGGGTGGGGCGTGTGAAAAGGCAAAGGTGGTTTTATATTTGGAGAACTTTAATACTCGATCAGAGCTTCCCTGACCCTGTCCTGAGTTTTTTTTTTTTTTTTTGTGGGGTGAAGGATGGAAGGATGTGGAGAAAGCAAGAAAAGCTCATTCCTCCCCGTGGTAACTCTGCCATATTTGCTGCTGAATATCATGCTTTGCTCCCCTTAAAACTAGCAGTACACAAAAACCCATCTGTACACAGGCTGCCCAATCTGAGAATGGCCTCCACACACACCACAGTCAAAGAATGAACTGGAAACTTTGTTTACGGTATTTTTTTTGAGCATGGTGTTTGAGGGAGGGGAAGCAATTGCCCAGACAGAATCACTCTAACAAAAATGACAATCACATAATGAATGATGTCCACTGAGCCAACTGTTAGAAGCTTGGGAGCTCTGATAACCCTGGAAGGAAGACACTTACTAAAAGCTCCAATCTTCAGATGGGGAAACTGATGCTCAGTGATTAAGTAACTTCACTGAAGGACTTTCTGCCAAGAAGCCAAATTTCAGAATTTGGGGAGGGATCAGAGAGAGATTTTTGTAAGAAAAAAACGACCATCAGTGTTAATGATTGACAGCATTTCCGATTAGAACAGCTGTCCAAACAGCCTTTGATCCAACTCAAAAAACCTCTAATCATCAGCTCCAAAAAAGGGGGGGAAAAAAAGAATCAAGATGCAGGACTTGAACAATGGGGACAAGTCACAAATCACAGACTGGAACCAGATCATACGTTGGTTGACTCCTTCTGGCAACTGGGCGCAGCCTGTTATCAACAGGCAGCTGAGGTCCAGGAGGCTCACCTTGGTCCTTCAGTCCATCTTGGTGCCACAAGGCCACTGGCTGTGAGCCAGGTCTTCAGAAGCACCTGCAAGGTGGTGGGAGGGGAGAGGGCTTCTCTGGAACCCTCTGGGAAAAGGTATTTGGGGAGGCTGATGCAGCCTTTGAAAGTTGCTTTTCAAGTGTGGTTCAAAGAGGGAGGCTTTGCTGGTGGAAAAACATAGCTCCTCAGAAGTAACTAATCTACTAGATGCAGACACAGCAGCTGAGACAAACGGGCACAGAGGTCCCGCTACATTCAGAATCTGTGCTACCAACTGGGCGCTGGGAATAACATCTGTCCTGCGTCTCTGTCGAGATTGTTAGACAAATAAATGACAGAAAACGAGATAGTGGGGGGCAAGTGTAATTTCCCAAAGAGCAATCTGTTCCCCGCGCCGTAGTAGCTCCCATTCGCACACTCGTCTCCTCATTAACGCAGGACTTCTGAACATCTCGCTGGAAGCCAAGGAGTCTAAAAGTACATCTCCCTAACCACGGCCTACCAGCCACATTTGCTGTGACTTCAGACCATGGTGCTTCTTGACCATC